CTACAGGCACGCACCACCATGCCCAGCTAATTTTTTGTATTTTTAGTAGAGACGGGGTTTCACCATGTTGACCAGGATGGTCTCGATCTCTTGACCTCGTGATCCACCCGCCTCGGACTCCCAAAGTGCTGGGATTACAGGCGTGAGCCACCGCGCCCGGCCCTCCCCATTGTACTTTTATAGTATGCTTTGATATCTGGTCCCTACTTCCTGAAACATGCCCTTTTCTTGACCTCTATGACCTGACACTTGTCTTTTTTTTTTTTTAGAAACAAAGTCTCACTATATTGTCCCAGAATGGTCTTAAACTTCTGAAGTCTGCCAGGCGCCATGGCTCATGCCTGTAATCCCAGCACTTTGGGAAGCCAAGGCCAGTGGATCATCTTAGGTCAGGAGTTCAAGACCAGCCTGCCAACATGGTGAAAACCCATCTCTATGAAAAATACAAAAAATAGCTGGGCATGGTGGCAGGCGCCTGTAATCCCAGCTACTTGGGAGGCTGAGGCAGGAGAATTGCTTGAACCCAGGGGGCAAAGGTTGCTGTGAGTCAAGATCGCGCCATTGCACACCAGCCTGGGCAACAAGAGTGAAATTCTGTCTAAAAAAACCAAAAACAAAACACACACAAAAAACTTCTGGACTCAAGCAATCCCTCTGCCCTCAAGCAATTCTCCCATTTCAATCTCCCAAAATGCTGGGATTACAGGTGTGAGGCACCATGCCCAGCCAGACCCAGTATTTTAATCATTGTACTTTTATAATATGTTTTGACCTCTGGTCTGTACTTCCTGAAATGCACCCTTTTCTTGGCCTCCATGATCTGACGCTTGTCTTTTTTTTTTTTTTTCTTTTTTAGGGACAAAGTCTTACTATGTTACCCAGACTGATCTCAAACTTCTGGATGCAAACAAACACTCCCCCACCTTGACCTCCCAAAGTGCTGGGATTACAGGCATGAGCCACCATGCCTGGCCCCACTTGTCTATTTTGTTTTTGGAGGCAGGATCTCCCTCTGTCACCCAGGCTGGAGGGCAGTGGTGCAGTCACAGCTCACTGTAGCCTCAACCTCCCAGGCTCAAGCAATTCTTCCATCTCACCCTCACCAAGTGCTGAGAGTATAGGCATGAGCCACCTGCCCGGCCATTTGTCTATTTTTCTTTATCCTTCTGTGAGTACACCTTAGTCTTCTCCATAGGTTCTGTCTCTCTGGTCATTCCCTAAACATTAGTGTCTTCAACATCCTAACCCATTCTCACTCCACACCATCCCTGGGTGATCTTATCCACTCACATGCTAATGGCTCTTTTTTTTTTTTTTTTTTTTTTTTTT